TCAAAAGACCAAACCAATAACAGTAATAATAATAATAGAAGCATACTACTGGAATACTAATAATCTAAATATAATTCACTACTATAATATAATAATCAAAAGAATCCAAAAATCGATCGGGTAATGAGGTCATGCAGCTAGCGATTAGACTACTCATCCAAGTAACAAGGTCATACAACTAGATAAAATTAATATTTAAAAATCTATAACAAGAGACGTAGTACGTCGAACGAATTAATCCAAACAAGGAAACCCTCATGTATATACCATATATCTCAAATTATAGATAATTAAATATCAATCCCGATCTATGTATAAAAAGAAATACAACTGGCCTACATCTCACAAGAATTCATACTTAGCCAAGAAATGAGGTCATGTAACTAGTCATCCTATAACTCACCAGTACATATCTCACACAGAGTCAACGTTCTTGTCATCAGATACTGACTGTTCACAAATCCCTTACGTGCATCCAAACCCACGAAACAGTTCGGTGAGAGGACTACACGCAATCCGATTTTGGCATGGTCCGAACTCAAGCAAAACTCGGGTGACGAAATGATTTCACTGACCAAGTACGAAACGACTCACTTGGCCAAACAAACCAACCTTAGTGCGAAACAGTTCACTGGTGCAAGTCTGGAAGATACATCAACAGCCTTATCCGATCACATGAACTATGACTTTCTCATCCCAACTCTCTTGTATTTTCTAAGTCAATAACACACAAACCTCTAGGTCTTATTCATGTCACACAGGTCACTATAGTCATAAACTCCTAATGATTCTCAATCATAACAAGGAACAATCAATGCAACTAATCATGTGCAATAATATCATAGCATATCAGATAATCAAGTCTAAGACAATCAATGCAACTAATCATGTGCAATAATATCATAGCATATCAGATAATCAAGTCTAAGAATTTGAATCATAAAATTGTTCTAAAATAATCATAGCATATCAGATAATCAAGTCTAAGAATTTGAATCATAAAATTGTTCTAAAATAATCTTCTAAAATTATAAAGTTATTTACTTATAATCCTTTTGCAAAATGAGTTCTTTTAAAATAATCTTTTTTTTCAAAATAAATTCCTTTAATTTATTTATAATTATTCTAAAATGATTCTTTTTCCAAGATAATTTCTTTTAAATCATTATAATTTTCCTAAAATAATTTTGTTCTCAAATAAATTCTTAATATAATTGTCCAAAAATGATTCTGTTGTCGAAATAAATTCTTTTAATTTATCATAATTATTCTGAAAATACTAATTATCATATAATTATGATTTATCTAATATTATTCATCAAACAATCCTACGCAGATAATTATATAATAAACTAATCTATTTAATCAATTAATAACAGATATAAACATGAAATGACGAGTCAAGAGAAGCGGGATCTTGCCTTGGGTTCGTCGAACGAATCTACGTCGACGGCGCGGATCGGATCTGGCGCGGGGGAGCGCGATGACGGGGTGTCGGAGAGCGGTGTTGGGCGAGGACGGAGGCAGTTACTCGGCGACGAGATGGCCAACGGTCGGGGCTGGGCAACGAGCAGGGGCGGAGGAGTTAGCGCTAGACTTGGTGGCTGAGCGGGTGGTGGTGAACAGCAGAAGGGGGTTGGCTGTCAGCGACTTGGAGATGGTTGGATCTGAGGGGAGAGGAGAAGCAGGGGGTTTGGGCGACAGTCGGAGGCTTGGCATCGGCGGTGATGGCATTGGTCGTCGGAATTGGAGGAGGAGCAGGCGGTGCTACTGGAGGCGAGAAGGAGGTGGTGGTGAGAGCTAGGGTTGGCTCGCATGAGTGGAGGTGACGGTGTCGGGTGGAAGAGGAGAGGCGGAGCCCGGGCTGGGCTCGAGATGGAGGAGGCGAGGCGGGTCGGCGGTGAGGGATCTCGGGCGACCACAAGAAGAGGGAGAGGACGGTTGTCGGAGCATGAGTGGCGTGGTCGGCGTCGGGGTGGAAGCGACGCTCGCGGTTGAGTGGTCAAGGCGAGGTGGAAGCGGTCGAGTCTGCGTGAAGAGAGAGAGGGAACAGGGCAGCGACGTGAAAACGAAGAGAAGAGAGAGAGAGAGAGAGAGAGTTAACGATATATATATATATATATATATATATATATATATATATATATAGGAATTTTTAGGGTTTTGAAAAATAATTAAAAATAATATTAATTACGAAATAAATTAAATAATTATGTGAAAATTATCTATACAATAAAACGTATCAGTTGTACTAATACAACCGATAATACACAATAATAGAAATAATACAACTAATTGTACAATTAAACGAGAATAATTAATAAAAAAATATAATTACTTATATTTAAAAATAAATAATTATAGAAAAATTATCTATTATCTACATAATAAAACGTATCAGTTGTATTAATACAACCGATTAAATATGCAACAGTAGAAATAATACAATAAATTATACAAATAATGTGTAATTAATAATACAACATATTATACAAAATAATACGTAATAATAATAATAATACAACATGTTATTCAAAATGATACGTAATAGTATCGACAACACAACAGATTAATTCCAGAAATTTTTACTGCACTAAGTTAATTTATAAATATCAAAATCATTTAAAAAATATAAAATTAGACTTTTAAATCATAGAAAATTCTAGAAAATCGAGAAAATACAAATACTCTTTTAAAAATAATAATTGAATATTTTAAAATACCAAAAAATTATTTTAACTAGTATTAAAAATTCACGGTCATTACAAGAAGGAATAACATGGGGGATAGAGGATCCCCTTACTTAATACCTCTATGACTTTTGAAGGTACTAGTAGGGTTACCAATGACTAGAACAGAGGATTTGGAGGAGGAGAGAATGTTATGAATCCACATGCACCATTTCTGGCCAAACCCCTTGGCTTTAAGGAGAGACAAGAGGAAATCTCAGCTGACACAATCAAAGGCTTTGCTGAAATCGATTTTGACAATGCAAGCTTCAATTTTCTTTGAGAAACAATGATGGATCATTTCATGGCCAAGAACAATAGAGTCTAGAGTGGATTTGCGAGATTGGAAGGCAGATTGAGTGGGATGAACCAGCGAGGGACGGAAGGGACGAAGCATGTTAGCTAGAACCTTAGTGAAGATTTTGAACAGACCATTAAGCAAGCTGATGGGTCTAAAGTCAGAGACATTGCAAGGCGAATTGGATTTGGGAATGAGAGAGATGAAGGAGAAGTTGATTTTGTGAAGGGGATAGCGTCAAGAAGAAAAAGAAGACAAGCATGTCCTCTCTGATGGTTTCCCGGAAAGATTGATAGAAGAGGATGGGGAAGGCCTGGGGCTTTGTCTGGATGAAGGCTAAAGACTGCTGACTTAATTTCTTCAATAGAGAAGGGGGTTTCCAGGGAGTGATGACTTGAGCAAGGGGAATGGTAGAGATGATCCTAGTCAACCTAAAGGGGGATGACTTTGAAGAGATTGGAGAAATGGCGGAAAGAGGCAAGTTGTTTTTCTGATTCTGAATATATAACTGAATTGTTGATGGTTATGTGTGGGATGAAGTTTTTTCTTCTATGGTGGGATGCTAATTTGTTGAAGAAAGAGGTGTTGGGGTCTCATTCTTTGAGCCAAAGGAGTCTGGACCTCTGTTTCCAATAAGTCTCCTCCTATTTGGATAAAGCAGAGAGGGAATCTCTAAGAGAGGCTCTAAGGGAGACTTCGGAAGGAAGAAGGCGTTTGGATTCTTCAAGGATATTAAGAGAATGAATGATGTTTAGGGTAGCAGCCTTGTTATGTGTGATAGAGCCGAAAGTAGATTTCTTCCACCATTTAAGTCTACGCTTGAGCAGTTTAAGTTTAAGGTAGAAGATCTCCACTGGGTTGCCAATGCAATGTAAGTTATGCCAACAGCTGGTGGAGAAATATATGAAAGATGGGTGTGAAAGCCAAGCTTTCTCAAATCTGAATAGGGGCTGGGGGGAGGGGCATGAGGTATCAAGGATGATGAACGCGTGATCTGGGCATGATGCAGGTTGCCAGAATTGAACGAGGGAAGGGAATTGTGATTCAAAATCAGAGGAGAAGAGGAATCCGTCTAACCTGGCCAGCATTGGGGTGGAAGGTATTATTGCCCTGTGTTATAAATATTTAAAAGGATAACAGGCTTAACATTTTGGTTAATTTGTTTCTTAACCTCCGTTTGAGGTCCGTGTAAACTTCCAGGAGAGCCAAAAGTCGCCACAGTAATCCTTTTTATGCGTTATAATGCGTATACCTTTGATATAAATTTGATTGATTTGTTGATGGATTGGTTTAATTTTCAGGATACGAGACTAGCGGTTAATGAGAGAACCAGGCTGCATGAGTTTGTTGGTATCAAGGAATCATGGAAATGCTCCTCCACAAATTCTGAAGAGCTCTCTATTAATCCCACAAAACTGAAGGAGCCCCTCTCTTCTCCATTCTGAAATGCACCTTACCAAGAAACCTAATTTAACTTGTACATTCTATCTAGCACCTTCAGCTATTAGCATTTGTGCATATATTTGTTGATGTTTTCTCCCCCTTTTAGTTCTACAACGTCTTTTAGATTGGTGTAGCTACTGGTCCTATAAGAATTTGACATATCATGTAATTTTTACCGTGAAATCTTCTTGACTTCTTAACATGTTTTTTATAATATGAATTGCAGCGGTAATCATTTCTTTTTAGGGGTTTTTTAGTTATTAGTCCCTTAAATTTTCCATAACCCCATATTATACCCTCAATCTTAGAAATCGCATATTAGCCCCGCAAATCCTATAGTTTAATCATGCTAGAATTGTGGGGAACGTTTTCTCAAATCTAACGGTTGAATGGGCAATGCGGCCGTGCCAGCCCCTCTATTAAGTTTGTAAATCCGCTGCATAACGGCTTTAAATCCAAAACCGTGAGATCAGTGACAGTAATCATGAAGCAATAAACAAATTTCTTTTATTTTTTTATGTTAACTCACATGAACAAATTTGTTGTTTCATTAAAGCAGCGGTCAGAAAATCTATCATAAGAATAAGCAACAAAGAGATGATCAGAGACCGCAATTGCATAACGATGATGATGATGAAACAACAAAACTTGAATAATAAAAAAAAACAGGGAAGCAGACCACACAATCAGAACAGAAAACTAGAACAATGAAGGAAAACCAGTGAGAGACTCCACGTCCCAATAGCAACGGTGAGCGAGGCCGCTGCGCTCGGGGGCGGGGACGGTGCGGGGACGAGGGAAGCTGGCGAGCCCACAACGTCTACCATCAGCCTCTGGCCTTTCTTGCAGCGCTCAGCATCGCCACTCGCAAAGTAGAAGAATCCTGGCTTATCAAGCAAAAACACAGTGCTTCCATCTTTGGACACTGAAGCATGCTTAGTCTCGTTGCAGTGGTAGTAGCCTCTCTTGCTCACTGTGACGACTGAGTCGTTGCGATACTCGAACACTGGTCGACAAAGATGAACGAGATCAATTGTACAAACGGATGGGTTAATTGCAGATAAACCCCTTCACTATCCCCAATTGTGGATACATCCTGTAGTTCTATTATTGCAGATAGACAACTGGGTAATTTTTCTTAACTCTGTTACTCCCAGATAAAAGAGAATTGTCCCTCGACATAAAGACCTCCTGAGGGTAAAAAGAGTCAAAAAAAAATTCCGCACTTTGGGGGTCTATCTACAGCAATAGAGCTACAGGGGTCTATCTGCAAATAGCCTTAAAAGAATTCAAATTTGGGAACCTGACCATGTAATGAATCCAATAAAATTAAAAATTTTAATTTTAGATAGGAGTTTGGTTCTGACAAAAATTAGAGGGCTTACCGATTGAATCGCCGACAAGGAACTTGATCTTGTTAGCCCAAGTCTCGTAGAAGTGAGGGTCGTTACCGGCAGGAACTCGCCAACCATCATTATCTCCAACCTTGTATACGTTCACAGCTCCAATGGTGATGGCCATTGATGGAACAAGGAGAAGAAAGAGGCTCAAGGAAGAAGACATCCCCATGGCTCTCTTGAATTCCTTAGGAAATAAGGCTTTGGGAGTAATTGAAAGAAATTGAAGGATGGGTGAGTTATGAAAAGCTCAAGCCACTGAATGAATAAATGAAGCAAATTTGGTCTACTGTAAAGACTGTTATAATGAATAGGGGCAAAAGACAAAGGGCAGTTACAGTTAGTTTTGGGATTGAGAGGGAATGGAGAACGTGGGGTTATTTCTTTCAGTTGTCAGTGGAATAGAGAGTCCGTTTGAATATCAACAGTTAAAAACAGAGAAAAGACTTTTGAAAACAGTTAAAAATAATAAATCTGGTTACATACATGCAAAATATAAACCTCTCTTACTCAGAGAAAATTGAAGAGGTCAAAATTATTCATACATAAATAAGAACTAGAAAAGCAAACTAACTGTTACAGGACTGCAATGTTCAGAAACTTCAGTGAATCTTTCGACCGAAAATTCTCTATATATGTTGACGCTACTACATATATATGTAAATAAAAGTAAAATAGAAGCTTGTTGAAGCATCAAGAGGAACCTGTACTTTATCTGCAATGTTATTCTGCAGGGTCAACTTTAAATGCCTTGTACAAGAAAATATGCTTCTTAAGGCATCTCTCAATCACTGTCATACTTCTAAGGGATCAAAATCGATATTTGATACTTCACATAAGTATGTCCGAATCAATTTGTTCAAGATTTGGAAATATCTCCTTCAAGATAACTGAATAGCTCGGGGAGGTTGCCTGCAAAAAAAAGTATATACATTATCATTAAGAAAAAAGTCCAGGAGACTATCTTCTAAACTAAGGAAGAAATTCCTCTAAATATGTTGATTGGGTGCCTTTAGCCAGTGACAATCATACTCTTGCGAGCAAGCAATTTAAGAACTCAACCAGGCCATACAAATAAGCTATTTGAACATCAAGTGCATAAAATTTTCTGTTAGCTTCCTTTTGCGGTCCCTATGTGTGATTTCAGCCTTTACACAGGAGATGGTATTGAGATTCACAAGTGCAAGTGTATGTAATCATATGGGAACTATCCAATTTGGTTGAAAGGTAGTACACATGATTTCAAGAATAGCAATAGAATCTTACAGAAAATGACAATCTTACAGTCACCAGCTTTCCTACTAACTTACATAATAGTAATAACCTGTCATGAAATATAGTACATAATAACAAAATTAAGAATAACCTATAATATAAACTTTAAATGCACAAAGTATTGTTAGATTCGAAAAGGGAAGGATATCAATGCTCTTTAATAGACTACATTTGTTAAACAAACCAACCAACCAACCAAAGACTAGGTCATGTCTTACCTAATTTCAATCAAGATCAAGTCAGACTACAGATTATAGGATATATCTCACAGGCTAACATATTAAATCTACAATATAACTAACAGATAAAAGTATTTAACCATACAGGAAGATATTCTAGCTGTGAACATAATCTAAGTTAAAGTTAATGAGACTAAGAAATGCCAGGACCAAACTAGTGAATAAAATCATACACATGGGTTTCGCTCAAGATATATGGTTGTAAGCTTCTCCCTCGAACCCGACAAAGCTAGATCAATCCCTTCCAAAGACGCTATTTGGTTGTCATTTAGCCACAAGTCTTCCAACCTGCACAATAAGAAGTAAATGCATTTGTAAAGAAGAAACTATATGTTACTCAAAGGGTATCAAAACTGATTTTCGATTTCAAACCTTGTCAAATTTTCAATATCATCAATAGAAGTAAGTTTATTAGAAGAAACATCCAGGACGCGAAGATTTGCTAACTTGGATAAGCCTTCCATCTTAGCAATACCATTATGGCTAAGATACAGCTCTTCGAGTGCAACACAGTCCTACAAAGAAGTATGATATCATTATGCATTCTAGATAAGGGATTTTTGCTAGAAACCACCTCTAAAAATAGGGCCATTAAACAAAAAACCCCTTTCATTTTTAATCACATGTAAACCACCTTTAAAGTGGAATTTTGTTTTAATCAACCACCTCCTAGTCAAATTTTCACTAAAAACCAAAAAATAAGGTTGAAATGTGTGTTTAAGGTACATGCCATCCTAACTAGACCGAAACATTACCAAAGTGAGTCATATGTTTGGAATGTGAGTCTTTTTTAGGGTATTTTTGAGTTTTCAGTGAAAATTTTGACTAGGAGGCGGTTGATTGGAAGAAAAACCCACTTTGAAGATGGTTTACGTATAAATTGAAATGAAATGTGGTTTTGTATAATGACCCCATTTTGAATGTGGTTTCTAGGAAAAGACCCTTTAGATAATAAACCAACAACACAATAAATATCTCTTACTTGTAATCCTGCCATGGAAGTTAGCCGATTGCTCTGCAAGCTTAATTTTCTGATACATGTTAGACCACACAAGTTCACAGCCTTGATGCGGTTTCTTCCTAACCACAGCTCTTGTAAATTTGTAAAGGTCTGCAAGTTCTCCATCACCTGAAATTGGAATACACAGGCCAATAAAAAAAACAGCATCATAAGAACATCCGTTGGTGTTTTTTTTGTGTGGGTGGGGGTGGGGTGGGGGGGGGGGGG